ATAAGTAAAAAGCATGTGTGAGTGCCTAGGTTCAGTCCCTTGAATTCCTCCCCACTGCCCAACCAAAAAAATGTTGGCAAAACCTGATACTCACATGCAAAATAATATGTCAGCTGATATCTCACACTATTTACAACAATTAAGCAGTTAGTACCAGGTATGATAGTCCACTTTGGAAGGAGACAGAATTTCAGGAGTTCATGGCCAGCTTAGATATAGGAGAACCTATCAAAACAAAATAAGCCAATGAGATGGCTCAGCCAGCAAAAGTGCTTGCTGTGAAAACCTGGTAACATCCATGAATCCCACTGTGGAAGGAGAGAACCAGCTCTTAAAACTTGTTCTCCGGCCTCCACATGTACTCTGTGGCACTTGCACATGTGTGCACTCACACATACACCATTCATACACAATAATAAAGAGTTTAAAGTTAACTGAAAATTTATCAAAAGCCCAATTTTAATTTTTTGTTTGTTTTTTTTGAGACAGGGTCTCCCTGTGGCCCCAGCTGGATTAGAACTCACACTATGTTAAACCAGGCTGGCCTTGATCTCATGGAGATCCACCTGCCCCTGCTTCACAAGTGCCAGGATTAAAGGTGTGTACCACCATGCCTGGCCCAATTTTAATTTTTTTTGTTTGTTTTTGTCTTTTTGAGACAGGGTCTCCCTGTAGCCCCAGCTGACCTGAACTCACTATGTAGACCAGGCTGGCCTTGAACTCACGGTGATCTGCCTCCCTCTGCCTCCCGAGTGCTGGGACTAAAGGTGTGTGTCACCATGCCCAGCTCCATTTTAATTTTTAACTAGGTTTTTATTTTATCTGGGGGGGGGGTATGCCCATGCCATAGCAAGTGTGTGGCAGTCAGAGGACAACTTGCAGGAGTTCATTCTCCCCTTCCACCATGTGGGTCACAGGGATCAAACTCAGATCATCAGGCTTGGTGGCAATAGGCACCTTTACCTACTGAGCCATCTTACCAATCCCCAAAGTCCTAAGTATAAAACCATAAAACTCATAATCAAACACAAATCTTTATGACCTTGGATCAGGCAATGTGCGCTGGACAGATTTAGTTGTCAACTTGACACACCTGGGTTGAGCGAGCCTCAGTTGGAGAATTGCCTCCATTGGGCTGGCCTGTGGCCATGTCTGTGGGGTATTTTCTTGATTGTTGATTGATGTGGGAGGGCCCACCCACTGTGGATGGTGCCACCCCTGGGCAGGTGGTCCTGTGTTGTACAAAAAAGCAGGTTGAGCATGGGCCAGGGGAGTAAGCCAGTAAGCAGCGTTCCTCCATGGTCTGTGCTTTAGCTTCTGCCTCCAGGTTCCTGCTGAGTTCCTTGAGCTCCCTGATGAATGTGACCCAGGAGATGTAAGCCAAATAAACCCTTTCCTCCCCAAGTTGGTATTGGTCAGAGTGTTCTGTCACAGCAATAGAGAAGCAAACTAGAACACAATGGTTTCTTAGATATGGCACCAGAAAAACAAATAACCAAATAAACACTAATAAATGGAACTTCTTTAAAATTAAATTATTTTTCTTGCAGCAAAGAACACTGTGACAAAGAGAAAAAGACAAAAAAAAGAGCAATGTGTCACCATTTTTTTTATGGGCAAAGGACTCCTTTGAGGTATATGTTCCCCAGGTAGGCTTCTTGGGACACCCATATAGGGACATTTGGAAAAGCATGGGTTCCTTGTAGTGAAGAGCTGAGTCAAGGTGTTGAAGGTCAAAGTGGAAGCACAGGAAACCAAAGATAAGCCAGAGGACTGCCGAGAGGTGTGCTCAGGACTGCAATGGCCACATCATGTCCAGAAACAGCACTTCAGAACTCTCCACCCTGCCCTCCAGCTCTTCTAGTCTCTCTGCCTCTTCATCTACGATATTCTGTGGATGTTAGAATCAAAATGCTGTTTCCCTATCATCTCGCTTTGTTTAGTGCTCCTCCCACAGTGCATCATTTCAGGATTCTGTCATCTTACATGCTGGTCCCTGTGCCTGGAATGTCTTTCCCATGTTCATCTAGTGAACCTCTACCTGCTTCCTATGAGCCAGCTCTGGATACTTTCTCTTATTTTATTTAAAAAAAAAGAAAGCAAGGCGTGGTAGCGCATGCCTTTAATCCCAGTACTCGAGGCACAGGCAGATGGATCTCTGTGAGTTCAAAGCCAGCCTGGTCTACATAGTGAGTTCCAGGCCAGCTGGGGCTACAGGGAGATCCTGTCTCAAAAAGTAAAAACAAACAAAAGGTCTAGTATACAGAATCTATAAAGAATGCTTACAACTTAATAAAAAGAGAAACCAAGGGGAAATGGGTTAGACAGCTCAGGGACTGACTGCTTTACTACTGCTAAAATGGGAAACGCTCCAGTATGATCTGGAGATTTAAAAATGTACACCAAGCCAGGCGTGGTGGCTCACGCCTTTGATCCCAGCACTTGGGAGGCAGAGGCAGGCAGATCTTTGTAAGTTCAAGGCCAGCCTGGTCTACATAGTGAGTTCCAGGACATCTGGGGCTACAGGAAGACCCTGTCTCAAAAAGACAAAGAAAATGTACACCAGAAAAATGCAGATTGCTGTTGAGCATATGAAAAGATGCTCAATGTCACTGAACATTAGGAAAATACAAGCCAAAACCTGGAGGCAGGACTTCACACCCAGTAGGCTAATTGTGAGTAACAAGACAGACAATAGCAAGTGTTAATGTGTGAAGAAATTGGAGTCTTCATCATGCATTTCTGGTGGGAATGTAAAATGGTTTTAACTGCTTTGAAAAACAGTTTGGCAGTTCTTTGTACTATTAAACACAAGTTACAGTATATGACCCAGTGTTACTTGACAGACTATTGCTGGAAAGATGCAACATGTCTGCTCACTCCCAAAAGCAAACCCATGAGAGACCAAAGTAACGATTGCACCAAAGTTCAATTTGGTGGACCAGTGAGTTTTTATTGGGGTCACTGACAGGATGGGTGAGGGGTTACTTATAAGAGTGGGAACAACTCAAATGCAGCAGCTTTACCAAAAAGCCAAGAGCCCAGTAGGAGTGATAACTCATGAAAGCTTCATCCTCAGTGCTGTCTGCACTTGTTATTAGGTCCGAGAATCTCTTCGAAGTTCAGCTGGCCAGAGTCTGCTCCTTTAGTAGTTGTTTGCACAGGCCATGGAGGAATGCTGCTTACTGGTTTGCTCCCCTGGCCCATGCTTAACCTCCTTTCTTTCTGGATTTTTTTTTTTTTTTTTTTTTTTTTTTTTTGATAAGCTCAGTGAGGTGGGGATGGAGCTTCTGTGTCTTCTGAGGGAGGACAATAGTAATTTGACCATAAATCCGTTCCAAAGTCCCCAAAGCTGTAAAACCTGAAAGCTGACGAGCCCCAGCTGTCCTGGAACTCACTATGTAGACCAGGCTGGCCTTGAACTCACAGAGATCTGCCTGCCTCTGCCTCCCGAGTGCTGGGACTGAAGGCGTGCAGCACCACGCCTGGCTCAACCTCCTTTCTTATACAATACAGGACCACCTGCCTCTGTCTGCAGTCACCACACCTAGTTACCCCACATTTAACAAAATTAGTGAAAATCAGGATGAAGTCTTACAGCCCCAACAAATCAGTTCATTCCATGGTTCCTTAACGCTCACATAGAAAAAAAAGCCCTCAGTATGTTCACATGCGAGAGGGTCATTTAGTCTTCGTACCACTTGCTTGTTCCCTGTGTTTCCATGTTTTAAGGGACTGCTGAAGTTCTGTTACAGACAGCTGAAGCCAAAGCCCATCCAAATGCAGTTTTGTACCAGGGCAGCTGGGTGACTAAGGGGTGTGTGGGCATGTGTGCATGCGTAACACATAGGAGTTGGTATTTCCTAGGGCACTAAGATAGGAAACCAGCAAGGCTGGGGTGGTGGCCAGAGGGCCAAATACAGGCAAGCCAATGGCAAGATTAGGTGCCACAGTGGGCTCCCACATATTCCATGCTGAATATAGCCCATAGACTCTTCCCCAGGTGGATCAGCAGTTTCTTCTGGAGACCCCCCCAAAAACTGTTTTTGAGACAGGGTCTGTGTAGCCCTGGCTGACCTGACACTTTCTATGTAGACCAGGCTGGCCTTTAACTTACCTGCTTGCCTCTGAGTGTAAGCAATAGATGTGGATCACCACACCCAATGAGAGAAACTGAGGGGCAGAACATGTGCCCTCAGGGCCAAGGGAAGCCATGCACGGGAAGACAAGCCTAAGTGGTACCAGAGGTTCCTCTGGCACTGAGTTGATCCAATGGCTCCTGTGGCCTCTGCAGGCAGGGTAGTTGTGTGTCTACCACTGAAGCCCCTACAGAGCAGTGTAGACACCAGCCCAGCCCTGCTGTTTTTACCTCAGTGCCTTTGGCCAAGGAACTGGTGCCTTCCCATAATTATCTCTAGCCTCACCAAGGTTTCCGACATGGTCCTGGCATCACCCAGAGCTACACTTTGCTTCTCCCATGAAGGGCACCGTAACCTACTTCTGTCTGTGCAGGCTGTCAGTGTCCTCTCAGCCCCCATGGTCAGTTTCTAGGTACTGACAGGGCTTCAAGTACCTCCTCTTCCCACAATGCTGTGTTGTCTCTGGTGAGCACCTTACCTGGGCTGGTGCTCTTCTAAACAAACTGATCCTAGTGTTCCATTTTTTTTTTTTAATTTTTATTTTATGTGTATGCATATATAAGTGCAACCGTGTTGTGCAATGCCTACATTGGTCAGAAGAGGCTGTCAGATCCCCCGGGACTGGAGTTACAGTTGTGAGCTGCCATGTGGGCACTGGGATTCAAACCTGGGTCTTCTGCAAGATCAACCACTGTTCTTCACCACTGAGCCATCTCTCCAGCCCCTCCTCCCATTTCTTAAAAAGTCCAGACCAGAGTTCTGGCCTTGGCTGGACCCATGGCCCAAAACCCTGAGCCTCCTCTGTAGGATTCGTGCTCTTTGGTTCTCTTCACCCAGCCCTGAGAACAGTGCTGTATGTTGTCTCTGGGTGCCTCAGCTCTTGTCAGGCCCTCAAGCCTTGGCTGTACATTATTTCATTCCCAGAATCATTTCTAGCACAGCCCTGGACAGCTGCACATGGGGGTCCCTGGGCCTGACCACCCTCTAGGGCTGAGTATTCAGGTTGAGCTAGGTCTGCAACTTGCCCCTTCACGGGGTCCACCTGAGGCCCTCCTCCAGATGCTGATGGGGCCAGGCCACTTCTGCCAGCAGGAGAGAGGCATCTGAGCAGTTCCTTCAGAAAGCTGAGCAGGAATGTCCATGACTGGAGCTCTGAGAGTGGACAGTAGCCAGGATCCCAAAGAACAGGAACAGCACTTGTTTATTCCTCAGGAGGTAGAACACAGGCTTGGGGATCCCAGCCCCACAGGCTTGGGGATCCTTGCCCCAACCTACATGCCCAGGCAGCAGACTTCACTTCCAGAAGAGCACATTCCAGAAGAGCAGCCAGCAGGGGTACAGGCCCAAGGCCAGTAATGGAAAGAGCAGGGCACCATAGGTGTGATGCTCCAGTACACCCTGGGCCAATGCTGTCAGGAAGAGCTGCCAGCCCTCGGCCAGTGACAGGGGTACTTCCTGCAGCTCCCGCCACAGGAACAGGCTACCCAGGAGTATGGCTGCAGGGCTTGTCAGCATCAGCAGGGCAGCATAGAATGGCCTGGGTGGAAGGGAAACATTAAGAGTATGCACCATGGGGGGGTTCCAAGGACTGAATGAGGACAGGTTCTGATGAGGGGCATAGACATTGGTAGGGAGGAGGCTGACCAGCACATACCGGGGTCCGTGAGGACTGGTGAGTGCAGCAGCAGGAACCATGGTGGCGGCCAGCAAGAAACCCAATGAGAAATTGGTGAGCGCAATGCAGCCCAGCTGCAGTGCTAAGTAGATCAGGGCCACCAGTTTCAATGCCATCCAGCCTCTGTCTGGGGCCTGTGAGCTTACCACGCTGCATGGTGAGAGATGTATGGCCAGTTCAGAAGATGTCTAGTATCCAGGGGGTCCATCCTACCTGCCCAGATCAGCTGCTCACCGGTGGGTATTGTGCGGAAGGGCTAGGCCAGCTACGTAAATTGCCAGTAGTGTCAACACCACAGCCTCAGCTTCAGCCACTGGAAAGTGCTGGACAGCTACATGTTGGCCCAGCACAGGCAGGATGTAGAGGGCCAAGCCCATGGCCTGAGAGATCAGTACAGGTGCTAGAAGTGAGGCCAGGCTTACACCCTGCAAAGTAGATGGGCACCTGGAGTTAGGCCCTAGGTATAGGGGAGCCCCAAAGACCCAGACTACCACCAGCTGAAGCTAAGGACAACAGAAGGCACTACTAGGGACCCTAGAAACCCAGTCCAAGGGTGGTAGAGGATGGCATCATCACCTGTGCTCCTGGAAGTGGGGGCCCAGGGTTTGGGCTTCCCCCAGCCTCCTGAGGGGACACTCCAACCTCGTGTAGCTGCATCCACAGCTCCAGAGCATGGTCCAAGTCAAGGACCCCAACACAACACGGGAGAAGATCTGCCAGGTGGGTGAGCAAGGGCTCACCCCCTAACCCCCATACCAGGGTGGAGGACTGTCCCCAGGCTAGAGCTGAGGGCACCCTGGGCTGGCCACAAGTGGGCAGTAGTAGGGTGGCAGGTAGAGGATATCTTGAGTCCAAGGACCAGGAGCAAGAAGCCAGTGGCAGGCATGTAGACACCGATGGAGACGAACCGGGAGAGGGCGGGCAGCAGGTAGAGAAAGAAGGACTGGTGCAGGCGCTCTAGGAGGTGGTTGAGCTTGCGGAACATACCCTCTAGGGCCCTGTGAGGAGCACAACCAGGCCAGGTCAGCCACACCCCTCCTCCCACCAGCCCCTCCCTCCCACCAACCCCTCCCTCCCATCAGCTGGGTACTATCTGCGTGTGTTGAGACTACTCACTTGCCCACCGTCACCAAGTCATACTTGTACTGGCGGAAGCTATTGATGCCACGTAGGGTCAGGGCCTCCACTCGGTAGCGCAAGAAAAGGCCATGAGGGCCATGAGGTCGGCCAGAGGCCTGCCGCAGCACCATGAGCAGAAGCGTCTGCAGGCCCTGCAATGGTCCATCTAGTGACGTCCAGTCTTGGGGCTGCAGCTTTGGAAGCATGGGGACAGGATCAGATTTATCCCTTACTACAGGTCCCGTGCTCCCAAGCAGGTAGTCGCACCTTGCCCTGAAGTGTACACAGCAGCCCCCCTTTCTGGCAGAAGGTCTGGAAGAGGTTGAGCAGATCAAGGTTGGGCAGCTGACCATTGAGTCCCTCTACAGTCACATCTAGGCTGGTGACCACATCACTGTTCAGCTCCAGGGCCACAGCTGCCTGGATGGCTCCAGCCCTGCCTTGCAGGGGAGATGACTGCATGCCTGTAGGGGCAAACAGATGAGCACTAGCTGGGGTACTGGTGAGCACAGCTGAGCTGAGAGACACCACAGCAACACTTACCTGTGACATTAACATCGTGGTAGGCTTCAAGCCAAGCCTCAGTGCCCATAAGATCGTGTTCTGTTACCAGGAAGATGATATCTTTGGCCCAGTAAATCTGCCCTGGAGGCCAGAGGCAGGGTCAGCAGGGCCTGGAGCATTGGGCAAACCCTTCCTACCCAGAGCTCCAGAGCCTCACCTCGGAAATGGGCAGCAAGTGCCAGCAGCAGCCCCACAGCCTGACTATTGGTGGAGTCTGGGCCACAGGGTACAGTGAGTACCAGAGACTCGGTGCTGGCAGCTCGTGGAGCCCTCAGGATGCCATACACATTGGTCCCTGACACCATCTGCAGCGCAATTGCACCATCAGAGCTGTCCCCCATCATCCCTCCCAATGGGTTCCTTGGGCCCAGGGCACTTCTCCAACAAGACACCCAGACCAGGCCACCCTTCTGGGGTGATTTTCTGTCCCAAGCCCACCCCTTTCCCTCCATACAAAGCGCTCGTGGGTCTCATCCGGGAAGGGCAGCTTCCGGGAGAAACTCTGCGTGTAGACCTCCAGCCCTACTGACCGCATCATCCGCTCCAGCCAGGCCACCGGCAGAGCCCTGGACACAAAGTCAGCCCTGAGCAGAGCTCCCCGGCCCCGCCCCTGGCTCTCCCAGCCCACCGTTCGTCGCTCACCGCGACTTCCTCTGGTGGGCCGCGAAGTCCCGGGCAAAGCCCTGGGCACGGTCTCCGCCCACAAACTGCTCCTCCACCATGGTGGAGCCCATGGCGTTCTCCGACATGTAGGTGCGCTGGGTCAGTGGCGGGAAGGCCAGCGCCAGGAACCAGGCGATGCCAGCCACGTAGCTCAGTACACTGCGAGGACAGGACCCGGGGTTAGCCCAACCCCGGACGCCGGCTCTGGTGACCTCCCGTTGCGCCAGGGGTCGTGCAGGTCTGAGAGACCAGACCCCAGCGGCGGCCTCAGGGATGGTTGGGATCGGAGCACCGAGCTCGGCTCCAAGTGACCCCAGCCCCAGCATGAGGATGGGTGGGGACCAGAGTACTGAGTTCCGGCCCGAGGGACGCCGGCGGGGAGGACCTAGTTCTGGAAAGCAGCACCGCGCCCCCGCCCTCACCAGAGCGGCGTGTTGAGCCGCAGGACGATGCGGGCGAGCGCGCGCCGGCGCACCGGGTCCGACAAAAGACCCATGGCCCGGCTGCTTCGCTCCCGCCGACACCGGAGGCTTCGGACCGCACGGTAGCTGTCGGACTCCACGCCCCGCCCCCGCCTGCACTTCCGGTCCCAGCGTGCGTCGCGCCCCCAGCAACGAGCCACAGCTGCGCATGCCCACAGTGCAGATGTCCGGCTGGGAAGCTGGAGGACGCTGCTGGCCGAGGCGTGCTCGACTTACGAGCAGCCACAGTGCTCCGGTTGGACGATTCTCAGGAGCGGGCAGGCAAGTGAGTGCAGGACCGGGTCCACGACGTGACCTCAGATGCCTGACTGCGCTGTGGTATGACATGAGGGCTTCGGTGAACTGAGGAGCAGCTGTTGAGTCATTCCTATGGATCTCAACTACTTTCAAGGACAGTGCATCTGATTGGAGTCTCGTGAGTGCTGGGTTCGGAATCAGTGTCATCGACGTCATATGTAAGAATGCCTGAAGATGGTATGTTACTACTAGCCAGAACAGGGTTCAGTGGAGCTGGGGTGAATGAGTACAAAGTGGGGAGCACTGCTCTTGTTCAGCCACAAGGCCACTGGCATAGTAGGGGAGTTGGTGGCTGGACAGGGTGGATGAGGGGATTGGTTTAAAAGGGTGTAGAGGTAAGGGCCAGAGCTAAGGAGAGAGGACCAAACAACAAGGGTTTGTTGTCCTTTTAGGGCCCAAGGTACACGGCAGAAAAGACCAAGGACATTCCAGGGGAAGTGGGGCATTGGCCTAAGTCATGACCTTGATTTCTATGGTGGGGTACCCATAGCCACCTGGGTTTATCTTGGCCTTCTGCTCAGGTCCCAGATGGGCAGGGTGAGCTTGGCAAATTCATAAGTCTTGCACCCTCTTGCTCTTTCCCCCTACCCACCACCTCCACTTTCTTGTCAGAGTTTAATACTGAAGCTCCATGTTTATGTGTAGCATTGACTCCCATCATCCCAGGAAGCCAGCACCAGGCTCGACTCTGAAAGTTCTGTACAGTAAGGTGTATTGAGTAGAGAGGCAGGCCTTTATTCGGCATATGGGTATTTGGCATTCAGTCCCCCAGCAAGATGGAGGCCTCCTGTACATGTTGCCGGACCACTTGATCCAGCAGGGTGTGTACATCTCGGGCAGCCTGGGCCGCAGCCTCTAGCACCTGCTCCAAGTGGTCTTCATGCAGCCGGGCATCCATCTCAAGCAATGCTATCTGGCCTGAGGCTGGTAGCAGGGCTAACGCTAACTGGGGCCCTCCAGCTGCTTCCTCCACATGGCTGAGATCTGCCAGGGCTGTGCCATCCACAAAGCCCGCAGAACAGGCACATACAAAGTCCCGCATAGGTATCCCAGCATCCATCACTGCCAGTGTGGCTGCATTCACACATGCTGCATAGGTCCCACCATCTGCCTGCAGCACCTGCAGGAGCATCAGAACATCAGATGGACATCTCACCTCCTGGACATCTCACCTCTAGCACCTCAGCTTCCCTTACACCCTACCATCCTGGGGTTGGGGCAGCAGGAAGCTTACTTGCACATAGATGTCAATCTGAGAGCGTGGGTGCAGCTTTGTGAGGATGGCTGCCTCGAAGGTCTGCCGTAGTTGCAGCCCCATCTCACAGGACTTCCGGTCCCCATGTGGTCGTCGCTTACGCTCACCTGTGCTGAAAGTTGCTGAACTATACTGACAGTTCACCAGGGCCCGGTCAGGCAGGGCTCGAGATCGGGAACCCCGGATCTGGGGGAGAAAGAACACATGAGCCAGACCTGCACCTCCTAGGTCACACTCAGTGCTCTGTGGCTCAGTTTTCCTCATGTTCCTCCAATGCCTGAGAGGGGCCATTTTTCAGTCTAAGCCCCATCAATCACCTTTGGCATGCAAATCCTTGTTCCACAGTTGCTCCATTTCCTCCCAGTGCTGGATAACTTTAATTGTCAACTTGACACATCTGAGTAGAGGGAGCCTCAATTGGGGAATTCACTCCATTGGACTGGCCTCTGGTCATGTCTATGGGGCATCTTCTTGATTGTTGAATGATGTGGGAGGGCCCAGCCACCCCTGGGCAGGTGGTCCTATATGGTATAAGGCAGGTTGCACACTGGCCAGGGGAGCAAGCCAGTAGGCAGCGTTCTACCATGGCCTGTGCTTCAGCTCCTGCCTCCAGGTTCCTGCCCTGAGTTCCTGCCTTGGGCTCCCTCAGTGATGAACTGTAACTCAGGAGATGTGAGCCAATAAAACCCTCTCCTCCCCAAGTTGGTACTGGTCAGAGTGTTTTGTCACAATAATCAAAGGCTAACTAGAATACTCCCTAACCTCCACATCATGGCCACAGTATATTCACAAACATTTGGTCTGATTGTGTCACCTGACACATTTTACTTACCTGTCAGAGGTTTCCCATCATATATGAAAGAAAATCTGAAATGATCTCCCTGGTCTTCAAAACCCTGAGTCCCCACCTCCCTGGTAACCCCTCAATTTCATTTCAATTACGGCCCCATTACCTATCAGTAAGTAGTCCGCCTGTCCTAGACCAGGCATCCTGGCACCTTCCACCTAGGAAGCTGGGCTCCCATAGACTGTGCCAAGCAAGGTTTTTAAAATGGGCTTTGAGACACAGCAATAAGGACCGCCGGTTTCATGCAAGTCCCAGTCCCGAGTAGTTTATGTGACGACAAAGACTAATAAGATGGATATAGTGTTGTGCCCGCCCCGCCGCTTACTCGCCTCGTGAGGCCCGTAGACCACCGCCAGCGCCTTGGTGTTGCCTTGCTCGATGTAAGCAGAGCCATCGGCCTGTGCAAACACGCCCATCCGCGCCTGGATCTTGCGCAGCTCCCCGGCGCGCCGTCCGTCTATTCGGTATCCCTGATCCGACAGGAGTTCCAGCCCGGCCATGATGCCTGCTCTAGGCTCGGTGTACCGGAGAAGGCCCTCTTCCGGTCTCAGGGAACTACGATTCCCGGCTTCCCCATCAACAACTTCCGTCGGCCAGGCCCCTTCCGATCTCGGCTTCCCCCGCCTCCAGATCTACGGCTTCCGGCGGTCTGTCCCCTTCCGGCGTCGGTCAGGCCCCTTCCGGTGTGAGAAGTACGGTTCACGGGGCCCTTGGCCACCCAGATGGAAGCCTTACGTCCTTCCTGCCGTTATGGTGTCCGGCTTCCTCCACTTCCGGATTGGAGACGGAAGGCCTGATTCGCACCGGCTTTTGCAGCCTTCCGCGGTCGCCCCTGACGGTCCCGTAGATGGGTTTTCGCTGCGGTGTTGTGCGCTTGGCCAGATTCTCCGGCCGGCCGCTTTCGGTTGGCCTCCTTCCGCTGGAAGTGGGCGCCGGCGGCGGCTCGGTGGGCTGGGGTTCCCGTTGGCTCCCGCCCAAGCCGGGATGCTGAGTTTTCGCAATTCTGTCCAGCACGATTCTTGTTACATGCACACGTGGTCGTCATCTTGCTGACCTTTCCTTTTCCTCATTTACTGGCCTCCCTCGTTCACTCCAGACCAAATGTAGCGGTCGTGGATGGGTTTTCTCTGTGTCATCCGAAAGCGTGGTGGTGTGTATGTGCAGCTTGATAGTCGCTTTGGGGACCTTTTTTTTTTTTTTTTTTTTTTTTTTTTTTTTTGTCTTTTTGAGACAGGGTCTTACTGTAGCCCCAGCTGTCCCGGAACTCACGTTGGAGACCAGGCTGGCCTCGAACTCACAAAGATCCTCCTGCCTCTGCCTCCCAAGTGCTGGGATTAAAGGCTGGCGCCACCACGTTGGGCTAGGGGGGCTTATTTTTTGATGAGACTTGCTGTGTCATGGCCCCAAATGGAGCTCTCTCCCCAAATTGTAATAGCTAAAGTAACTTCATTTTGTATAAAACAGCCACTTTAAACTTAAAAAGGGAAAAAAATAGCTTCAAGGTTAAGCGCCTGAGCTTAGCTGCTTCCTCGTAGAAGAGTGCTTTCTTTGGAGTAGCTGACCTTGGTTTTCCCAGACACAGTAGCTACACTTCATCAGAAAGTGTCCTACTGTCAAGGTCTCTATATCTCGTTAAGAGAAGAGCTAACACAAGCTTGTTTTGGCTTCTGTAGTTTGCTTATCTGCTAACTTGGGTGTCCTAACCATATTCAGGACCACCTGGCATTACTCACATCTGATGAAAATCCTGTAGTATTTGTGGGTTTTTCCTTTAAAAGCTAGTTCCACCTTCTCTGGGCCGTGGGTCCTAAATCTGACTAAGGGACCATGGCCCGCTATAGCCCTAATAAATTTGACCAATTAAAATTTGAATTGAGTCTGGTGGTCTTTTTCTCAGTGTTTTCAAACTCTATAAGAGCTGGATATGATTTTTTGTTGTTGTTGTTTTGTCTTTGACACAGGTCTCCCTGTAGCCCCAGCTGGCCTAGAACTCACTATATAGACCAGGCTGATGTTGAACTCACAGAGATCTGCCTGCTTCTGTCTCCCAAGTGCTGGGATTAAAGGCATGTTGCCACCATGCTTGGCAATTGTTTTTTTGTTTTTTGTTTACGGTGAGACCATTTGCAGTGTGTGGCTCCTGAGGAGGGAGAGGCTGGCGGATCTCTATGAGTTCCAGGCCTGCCTGTTCTGCTTAGGACACATTTAAACACATGCAGGCAAAACACTCATGCACATAAAATAGAAAACCAGGGAGTGGAGAGATGACTCAGCGGTTAAGAGCACTGGCTGCCCTTGCAGAGGACCTGGGTTCAGTTCCTAGCACCCACGTGGTGGCTGACAATTGTAACTCAAGTTCCTGGGGAATTCAGTACCCTCTCCTGACCTCCACTGGCCATTGCATGACTCAGATGGGATCATTTTCCTATGCACTTTTTTTTTCCAGATGTTTTTTGCTCAGAAAATTCCCAATGAGCCTGTGGTTTCGTCTTTTTTTTTTTTTTTTTTTTTTTTTTTTAAAAAAAAAAAAAAAAAAAAAAAAAAAAAGAGGACGATAAATCTTTCACTGTGATATATCAAAATAA